GGATCGAGCCCGAAACCCAGGCATGTGCCCTGACCGGGAATCAAACCTGGGACCCTTCAGTCCGCAGGCCGACGCTCTATCCACTAGGGCAAACCGGCCAGGGCAGCTCTATTAATTTTTAAAGGTGATTTTGGGTTATGTATCTTGTAATTATAATAAAACAATGCAGCCCGCGTTCCCAGTGGTGTGCAATTTTGACGGACCCCTGACGGGACATGCACATCCTCTGTGTGCCCCTCTCTCAGGCCCGCATCAGGCTGCGGCAGCGGGACTCAGGGGGTGTCTTCGTAGAGGACTTCATCTACCTTCATGTCATGTTCGTCCACAGGGACCTGATCGCAAATCTGCTCCTTGAACGCCAAGGCCATGGTGTAGGGCTTCGCCTGCTGGTGCTGCTCACAGCGCCTCAGGTAGGCGTCGTAGTAGCCCCGGCCCCGGCCCAGCCGGTTGCCTTGCTTGTCGAACCCGAGCCCCGGCATGAAGATGAGGTCCAGGCCGCCTGTGGGAAGAGGAACACACAGATTGGGTTGACGGTTTCTGAAAGACGGACCCCTCTGAAGCCTGCGTTTGTTTTTAGGGACATCTGTTCTCTCTCTGATGTCTAAGGAAACGCGTGATCATTCTAGAACACCCACTAGGCCCAGGTCGGACAAAGGAGGAAATAAACGACCGGGCACCTCAGGAGGCCCATCCCCCGCCCCCAGAGCTCCGTGTTCTGATCACAGGTACAGGGTCATCGCAAAAACGTCAGACCCGGTCCAGCCACAACCCAGCTCAGCGATTCCAGGGACAGGGCCTATGGTCTTGTTTTTCCTTCCTTTCTTTTCTTTTCTTTTTAAAAAAAATATATTTTATTGATTTTTTACAGAGAGGAAGGGAGAGGGATAGAGAGTTAGAAACATCGATGAGAGAGAAACACCGATCAGCTGCCTCCTGCACACTCCCTACTGGGGATGTGCCCTCAACCAAGGTACATGCCCTTGACCAGAATCGAACCCGGGACCCTTCAGTCCGCAGGCTGACGCTCTATCTACTGAGCCAAACCAGTTGCAGCGGTTCTAAACCTGTGGGTCGCGACCCCTTTGGTGGTCGAACGACCCTTTCACAGGGGTCGCCTAAGACCATCCTGCATATCAGATATTTACATGACGATTTATAACAGTGGCAACATTACAGTTACGAAGTAGCAACGAAAATAATTTTATGGTTGGGTCACAACATGAAGAAGTATATTTAAAGGGCCAGAAAGTTGAGAACCACTGAGTTAGGGCCTTCCTTTCTTTGTTTAAGCATCCGGGTGATCCTACACACGGCCCGGCGGGGGAGCCCGTATCCCCGGATGTGACGCCTGGAGGAGGGGGAGGAGGTCATAGGGAGGCCGGGCCAGGTGGTCAGCCGTCCCTGGTCCACGTGAGGGCAGGCTTTGATCTCCTCGGGGACGTTCCAACAGGACAGGATCGAGGCCACAGAACCGGCCCGCGGGCAGGAAGCCCCCCGGGCCCACGGGAACCGGAAATGGCCACAGCATCCTCCGACCAGAGCAGACAGCTGGGCTCGGGGTGGGAGGCAGGGGATGAGAGAGGTGTGGGGCGTCCATGCAGAAGGATGGAGGTCACGAGGGGAGAACCACGGGTCTGGGAGGCCCAGGAAAAGGTCCTGCAGCCGCTGGCAGGAGCAGATGGAGCTCAGGAGCCACGTCACACGTCCAACCCGGCGTCCTCAGGCTCCGGGGACACTCTGTCCCGTGGGCCCAGCCTTCCTGTCCAGGGTGTTGGCCCTCTGAAGGCTGCCCCGGGGCTCCTGGGTGGCCTCCAGCGCGGTGTGGCCGGGCCCTCCTGCAGCCCGCGGGCCAGGACACGCAGGGGGAAGCGAGAACGCTCTGGAACAGGGTGTTCTGAGTCAGCGGTGCTGACGACCTGCAGGACGGCGAGGTGAGCTCAGCTTCTCTCTGGCTCCCGGCACACACCTGCCACCCCCATGGGCAGAGCCCAGCAGGGCACAGTCACGACCTTGCGTGCACACCTGCTGTCTGTGCCAATCCCGGCCCCGTCGGCTCCTCTTTCTCTCTTGGGGTTGCCAGCGGCGTGTGCACTCAGACCCCGCCCCCTGCACGTGCTCCCGGCGGCAGAGCCCACGCCGGCCCACAGGGCAGCTCTGCCCCTGACAGTGTGACAAGGTGGCCTGGGAAGTCCTGGGGAGGGAGGTGGTGAAGGTCAGTTAACCCAAAACATGCCCATGTCCGATCCACCCCAAAGCCAGGCAACAAGCACAGGGACTTCAGCAGAGGGGGGGCTGGCTGTGGTCGGGAGGGGCCTCGGGGACTCTGACTTGACCTGGGCTCTTAAGGACGTGTCTACGTTGGGTCTGAGTATGTTTCAGAAACCACGGGAAGGTGGGAGCAGCAGACCGGTGAGACGGGAATGCTGGGGCGGGAGGACCAGGCTGAGTGGCAGACATGACTTCATCAGAGAGGGGCATGGAGATGTGGCAGCTAATGTCAACGAGATGCCCACAGCTCAAGAGCAAAAAACCAAATTAATCCCAAGCTGGTGTGGCTCAGTGGATAGAGCGTCGGGCTGAGGACTGAAGGGTTCCACGTTCGATTCCCGCCAAGGGCACACGCCTGGGTTGCGGGCTTGATCCCCAGTAGGGGGTGTGCAGGAGGCAGCCAATCCATGATTCTCTCTCATCGTTGATGTTTCTCTTTCTCTCTCCCTCTCCCTTCCTCTCTGAAATCAATACTATATTAAAACAAAACAAAACAACTTAACCCAATTTAAAAAATGGACAAAGGACTTAGACACCTCCTCCCAAAAGACCCCCCTCAAAAATGTCTGACAGATACATGGAAAAACGCTCAACATCAGAAATCATCAGGAAAGCGTTCATCAATAGCTCAACAAGTTATCCCTTCACACCGGTTAGAATGTCCATTTAACCACCCCCCCCCAAGATAGAACCAATGTGGGTGAGGATGGGGAGAGAGTGGGACCCTCGCACTGCTGCTGGGAGTAGAAAAAGGAAAACCCACTGCAGGAGTCAGCACGAGGCTCCTCAGACATTAGGAACAGAACCACCAATGGCCCCACTTCTGGGTATGAATCCAAAAGAAGGGAAATCAGGGTTTGGAGAGATATTTGCTCACCATGGTCACAGCCGCATTAGTCACAATAGCCAAGGGGTGGGAACAACCTAAAAGTCCATCAACAAATCAATGAACAAACAAGATGCGATGCGCACAAAGGAATACGACTCAGCCACGGAAAAGGAGAAGCCGCTGCAGGGGCTACAGCACAGAAGAGCCCTGAGCACAGCGGGTGGAGGGCCTCAGCCAGCGGCAGAGGGACAGACACTGCACGACCCCCCACGTGAGGAATTGGAAGCAGCCGAAGGCACAGGGAACAGCATGGCGGCGGCCGGGGGGCCGGGGGAGGAAACGGAAGCCCTGCCACCAGGTGTGGGTCTCACGTGCGAGATGGAAGGCAGTGAGGGTCGCTGTGCAGCGCGGCCTTCAGTTAGCACCCTGCGCTGCGCACTTAGAAGTGTGAGGAGGGCAGACTTTTTCCAAAGGCAAAGGTGCCAAGAGGAAAGCCAGGGGAAGTCAGGGTTTCCACCGGAGTCAGGACGCAGACAGAGAAGGTGGGACTTGAGGGCATCCACCTGCAGGCAGCGGGAGGACGGACAAGGGGACGTGAGGGTGAGGAAGCGACGTCCTCACATCCCTCAGGTTGGAGCGGATCTGGCCCCTCTGCTGTCGTCACTCCCGCGCTGTCACTGCGGCCTCCTGGTGTCCACCTTGTGCTGCCGCCGGTTCGTGTCTGTCGGCCCCATGGACCAGCCATTTCCTGGGGGCCAGGGGGCCGGGCTGCCCCTCAGGCTGGACGGGAGCAGCATGCTGGTCCGAGAAGCCCGGGAGGTGAGTGTTCTCCTCCGAGTGGGTCAGGCCTCGCATGACATCCCCGCGTTCATAACTCCACGGTCTACGGCCAAGGTTATGGGGCAAGAACGCAACGGAGGAAATGGCCTTGTACGGCTGCCCCACACTGTGAGCCAGGAAGGAGAATGGCTGTGGGGCTCCCAGGCGACGGCAGGGGTCCTGGCACCCTATTTGGGGTGTTGCTGTGGGACCCCAACCCGCAGGACTGCTAGCTGCTCCCTCAACACGGTGTGGCCTGAGCCGGCTCTGCTCCTGCTACTTGGTGAGCCTCCTGTGACACAGAGCGTGCGCCGTGCTGGCCCCGCCCATCTGCCATCACCTTGAAGTCCTCCCTGTGCCACCATCACCGCATGCATGTCCCCCCCCCCCCGGCCCCGCACACTTCCATCTCTCACCCACAGGCGATGGCCGACGGGGCATGAAACTCATGTGCAGGCCTAACCTGCTCCCCTTGCACACGCTGGTCCACGCTGGGCATCCCCACTAACAGAGGTCGCCCCAAGACCCAAGAAGACACAGTGCAAAGTCAAAACTCAGCGGGGGCAGGAGGAAACCCCGGGCCACGCACACCTATAATAATAAAATTGTGATATGCTAATTAGGCCGGACGGCCGAACAGCGGAACGACCTTCCGGACGAAGCCGCCCGGTGCCAGGCCTGCACCTGCTTCCCAGGCCCAGAGCCCAGCAG